GAACACTTCTTCAACTACGAGAAGAAAACAGCAGGAAAGAATTGGCTGCGAGAGTTCAGACGAAGAAATATAAATATATCCTTGAGTTAACCGGAAGCCACATTGGTAGCTCAAGCCTTCAGCAAGTCGCAAGTTGCTAAATTTTTTACCCTTCTAGAAAAAACTTTAAAAAAAGAAAATATAGACCAAATGAGAATATATAACGTAGACGAATCGGGACTGTTTACTGTGCAACGTCCTCAAAAAATATTTGGTACAGCAGGCAGAAAGCAAGTTGGTGTTGTTACGAGTGCCGAGAGAGGAAGTCACGTAACTGTGGTTTGTTGTATGTGTATCAACGAAGGGTTTGGTTCCACCAGCAATAATTTTCTCAAAAAAAAATATTAAAAAGGAACTAATTATTCATACTTCACCAGGAACTTTAGGCATACCTCAAGAATCTGGATGGATGACCGAGCCAATCTTCCTAGATCGGTTGAAGTACTTCCCTAAATGAAAAGGTTCTTTTAATTGTAGATAGGCATTCAAGCCACAAATACCTGGATGCCCTTATTTATGCCAAAGAGCAGGGAATTGTGTTTCTGTCTACCTCCACACTGCACACTAGACGTATTATTTTTTTGGCCCATTAAAGGTTTATTATGACCAAGAGATAAGCAAGTGGCTTAAAACACATCCCGGTAGAGTCGTCACACAATTCCAAGTAGGCGCTTTATACAATGAAGCATATGGAAAATCAGCCACTGTGCAAAATGCAATTCATGGTTTTGCGAAAACTGGGATATGCCCAATGAACGCCGAGGTTTTTCCAGATTATAAGTTGCAGGCATCAAAAATAACAAATATTTCAGTCACTGCTAAACCGCAGCCTGAAACAAGCACAGAAGATATTCCCATACCAAAACCTATAATTCTATTATTGATGAACCGCAGCCTGTAATAAGCAAAGAAGATATTTGCCCTTCAGAAAATAATGCAAATGAAAGCTTCTTGAGTGTTAGTTTGGCAGAATTAAGTCGAATGCTAGTTGGGTCATTTGTTTCAGGACAAGGAAAAAGAAAATCCAAAAAACGACAAGGATCGAATATTTTAAATTTTACTCCCAATTTAGAGCAAGCAAAAGAGAAGACAAAAAAATACGGTATCAGAAAGAAAACGGAGAACGATATCTAAGAAGTTGGCTATAATAGAGAGTAACTCAGACGAAGAGCCATTTTTTGAAGATGAAGATGAGGATTGCTCATGTGTTTCCTGCACAGAGCAATACAAAAGGTCCAGTTCTGGAGGAATGTGGCTTTAGTGTGGCTCTTGCTTGCTGTGGGCACAGTCTGATTATGCTGGGATAGACAAGAAAACTAAAGCTTTTATTTTTAAAATTTGTACTAGTGATTAAAAACATTAAAAAAGTGTGTGTCATTTTACCCGCATGGGTGGGTAAAATGAATTTTTCGCTGTTCTGTCTTTTATAATTTTTTTAAAAACTGGTAAAATAAAGTTAAGGTATGAGTTAACCTAATGTTTACTTAATGAGAATTTTAAAATTTTTTATTTTTTGATACATTCTTTAAGTTGGAAAAAACCCTATGTCATTTTGTACACCTTTCCCCTATTATTTTTAACATTTTAAATAAGTGACAATCCTGCCAAACTAATTGTCAGTATATTTTTTAGTTATTGAGATTAAATATACATTAAAATTAGTTATTTTTATGTAGAATAGATAAATAATCGTAAATAATACCATTTTTATTTGGACCATATTTAAAAAAAAAAATAAATTTTAATTGAACTATATGTAACTATTTTAATTACGAGTATTAAAACCAAATCGTAAAAGTGGACGTAGACGCGTGGCAGTGTATTTCCACGCGAAAAGCCGGGGATCTATTCTCAGCTGGCGATTATTTTTTTTTTTTAGAATTATTTGATTTTAAAAATCAGTAAAATTTATAATTTATTTTAAAATTAATTATTTAGTCTTAATAACCTAACATATTTTTTTTTTGTTAATGGGTCGTAGAATATGACGTTTTCCCCCTTTTTAATATTATGAGGGTTTTTGTAGGTAAAATGAAAATTATAATTTATTTTGGTCCTAATAAAAATTTAATCATAGGTTATCAAAGAGAAAAATACTTATAGAATTTCATAATCTTAAAACGTTATCAAACATTAATAATGGTAAATCTTCCAACAATAATTAGATTATAAAACAAATTTCTTGTTTTAGTTCTTCAAAAGACTTTAGCCGTCTTCGGTTGCCTCTGCCACTTTTCTTTTAGTAGTTTCGAGCAGAATTTCACTATGGAAACCAGGAGAACCATCAGTTGGTTGGTAAGATTTTGATATTTTGGGTCTGGTAAGAGGTAAGTCTGTTAAACTTTCTTCTTACGTAGCTGTAAACTTTTGGAAAATAAATAATGTGATATTATTGTTTAGTTTGTTACTACATAATATAGTTCATTAGTGATTTAGAAGCAAAGTATTGTATTGAAGTCAATTTTCGTTAATATTTTTTTAACTAATTCCGGTTATTAATTTCGATTTTTACTTAGTTTTAACTTCGTGGATATGCCCTGTATATCAGCTTGTCGCTGTTCAAATCAAATCGTCGAGATACTCTGCGTTCGCGAGTTGTAATGGTGGGGTTTCTGCTTTGGAAAGGGAAGCGACGATTGAACAAGCTCCGAGAGTCAATTAAAAATTTCAGTTTTCTAATAGACTTGATTTCAGCCAGTTAAAAGTTAAAGCCGCATTCTTAACTAAGTCGATAAATTTTTCGTGTTTATAAATCCGTTAGGTAAAAAACCTTGTTTCGTTTTTACGTTCATATTTTTATAGAAGAAACGTTTTATATTGAGAACGTATTTAATTTAAAAACCGAATTATCTTTTAGAAATAGAAACATTTTAATTCCGTGTTGAGTTAAAAGATTTAATTTGATTTCATTAAAAAATATTAGAATTTATTTCTTGGCAAATATAATACCGTTTTTATAAATATTGTTGGGAGAAAGATTTAATTTAATTTAATTAATAAATATTAGTAATTGGCTCTTTGAAGATAGAATACCGTTTCTTTAAAGGGAATTGAATATGATTTAAATAATAAATGATAGGTTTTAGTTCTTTAACATTGTAATACCGCTGATTTAGATTTTTGATAGTTAGTCTGTCCTAAGAAATTTAATTTTTCTTTTTGAAAGGTTAAATCGGGAATTAAATTTATTTAATTAATAAATACTTTTGTTTAGTAAGTGCCGCGTTATAACTAAGTTGGGAATATTTTGTAACGGAGATTTCGAGGAGACGTTTTCCCTCTTTTAATAGTTTGTTTATTCTTTTACCGCAAATTTAAATAATCTTAAATAGTGTCCTGTCCCTGTCTGAACAGGCTCGTGATGACGATCAGTTCATTCTTGGACTAGGTACTATCCGCGTTATTTTTTTTTTTTTTTAGTTAATGTGCACACCGCAAATTTAAATAATCTTAAATAGTATCCTGTCCCTGTCTGAGCGGGGTCGTGATGACGATCAGCTCATTCGTAGAGTAGGTACTATCTGCTTTAGTAGTTTTCTTCCCTCTGATAATGGTTTTGTTTTCTCTTTCACCGTCAACTTAAATAACCTTAAATTGTATCCTGTCCCTGTCTGAGCGTGTTTGTGATGACGATCAGCTTATTCTGGGATAATAGGCTACCCCGGGTGCATTTTCGTTAACTGCACCCATTATGTACCGTTCAGCTTCCCGAACGTTGCCTTGTTAACTGAGGACGATATGGATTAATTTTGCACTATACCGTCTGCACTTAACTCATTCTGTGATATTTGCGTTGTAAGTAACTATACCGACTCAACGACAGATTATTATTGTAGCGTCTACAGTCCGCACTCCGCACTCGATTTATTCGGTATATCGGTATTATTTACATACTATCTACAACAGTGATAACAAACACGTGGTAGGCATGGACTCATTGCCGACAGATCACCAATGTTATGAAGTTGATAGTACTACAATTTGGAGAATGTTGAGAGACAAAGTAGCAGTAGAGGTAAGCGAAAGTATTATATTTCTCCGAAAAACGGAATTTTTCATCTTCATCTGTAGCTACCCGAGTTCTTCGAGAACCGCCCGTAACCAGCGCCATTAGTAAGGAACCGTTTTCTTTGTGTCGAGGAAACCCCTTACAGTATTTATAGAATAAAAAATCACTCATAATATCCAAATATTTACACCTATATCTTTATATTTCGGAAACGAAGATTAACTATTTTATGTTTTTGGCTATGAATAGTTTTTTTAAGAATTTTAAAACCTTTTGCTTTTTTGGGATACTCCATATTATTATAAGCATATCTTTGAAGTTCATTTTGTTTAAACCTAAAATTAATTTAGAACATAATATGAAAATTTAAACAAGACACAAAATTAGTCGAATAAATTAATTAAAAAAAAATTGTCAAAAACATTATCTTTGAAAGAAACTTAAGTTGTTTCTCTGCTTCCCTTGCTGATTTAGTATTTTAGGAGCAGATGAATATGGTGAGGAAGTAGTGACAGGATTGATTATTATACCTCTGTCGTCGAAATTTAAATTTTTCTTTAATATTTGTCTCCCATGTGGTCTGAAATAATATAGTACAAGGGACAAAGGTGGCAGGGTGGGTACTAGGAATTAACATAGGTCAAATTCAAGCAATTAAGAAGTAGCGTTATCGGAGAATAAGTCAGACGGCAAAGATTAGTCTCTCAATGGATATGTTAAAAGTTTCTTAATATTGACAAACACTATAAGTTTAAAGTAGTAGTCCAAGCCGCGAGCGCCGTAAAAAGGTGGTCAACCAGAATAGGTAGAAAAATATATTTTATTACTTTTTGGGTATTAGATAAATAACAAACCATCGGTCTGGTAGTCTGTGACTTGTCCAATTTTTTTTTTATAAAATTTGTATTTTTTTTTTTTAATTGATCTACATAACTTAAACATAATTTTTTAGTTTACGATGGCGTTTTGACCAGATGAATATAGAAATTCAAGTCTGGCGTTCTTTTTCTTGACGCAACTGTTTTTCAGACCACCTCCAACAAATTTATTACAACAACAAATTTTATATACAAGGTATAAGAAAAAATCAAACGTCAAAATTTTTATTTTTTATTCCTCTTTCGAATAAAATTAGTCTGGCACGTTCATACTTGATCAAAATTCTGCCAGACCAAGATTAAGCAAGTCCTTCTCTACTGGTTGTAAAGTGGGAGTTGTTTTTGTTTTTAACATAACTGACGTTATTCAAATCTTAACCTGTTTAATTCGCCAAAATGTGATGTGCGTGTTTTTAAATGATATTTGACAAATTTCGGCCTGACGTGAAATGATTAGATTTTGGACAAAGTCGGAACATCTGGGGTGGGGGGTAATTTATGGGAGGCCGTTTTTATATTTTATGGATACAGATATATATCTGTTATTTATGTTTGGAGAAGAAAATTGATCAAATAAAAGTTACTTCTAATATTATTATCTATAATTTTAGCTGTATGTCAAAATTTCCTAAAATGGTCCGTATTCGAGAAATTTGACAAAATGTGCAAAATTTTGATTCTTATAAAAATTGTTGAACTAAAAGTTGTTTGCGATATCGATCTCTATAATTTTTGTTTATACATGATTTTTCTAAAATGGACCGTAATGGAAAAATTGAAGGAAAAGTTCTAAATTTAAATTTTTCAGTATTTTCGTTTTCAATGAATATCTATAGAAAAATGTTTCGAGGTAGATGTATGTGGAAAATGTATATATTTAGTTTATCCTCTAAACATTTATAGAGGTGCTGCAATAGGTTGTACAAAATAACCGGAAAAGACCTATAATAACTAGATAGGAAAGTCATGTGTTGGATACATCAGATTTTTCTTATAGCTTGTATAGAAAATTTGTTGTAATAAATTTGTTGGGGGTGGTCTGACAAACAGTTGCGTCAAGAATAAGAACGCCATACTTGAATTTCTATATTCATCAGGTCAAAACGCCATCGTAAACTTAAAAATTATGTTTAAGTTATGTAGATCAATTTTACAAAAAAAAAAAATACAAATTTTATTAAAAAAAAAATTGGACAAGTCATAGACTACCAGACCGATGGTTTGTTATTCATCTAATACCCAAAAAGTAAGTACAAATAAGTACAAAAAGTAATTTTTGTATTTATTATGGTTGACCACCTTTTTACGGCTGTCGCCGCTTGGGCTATAGAGGGTTCATACTTATTCTAAAATGAGTGGATTTAGTTATTAATGATTGTTGTAGATAAGAGTTTAGTATTAAATCCATAAATATTTAAACCTTTGGAAACAAAACATTAAAAGTTTCGATGGTATCCGTTTATAAGAAAGATATATTTACAACACTTTTATCATGTTAACCTGAGAATAACGATCAAGGAGAAGCGACAGTAGCTGTCGGTGCCTTTGATATCGGATGTACCTTTTTCACAGCATGACTTTGATTGATACACAACTTAGCACGTTGAGAAAACATGCTTATTTTCTACACTGAGCGAAATAGTTTGGCAAATTATCTGAAATCATTGTTATAGTCCATGCTCAAATATTGTAATGTGATTAAATTACATTAAAGTAGTTAGGGTTAATAGCAATGGTGAAATTTCGGCACCAAAATATAATTCATTATGTAATAATTAATTATTTATTATAAAAGTAAAAGACGTTTATGATTTTATAATTTATCTATAAAATTTGTTCAATATTTGGTTTATTTATTGTTAAAAATGTAGTAGAAGCCCCATATTCAAATTAAATTACCTTTTCCTTAAGTTAAAATAAGGTAAATAAAATTAAGGGTGCCAAAAAAAAATTAGGTAACAATTAAAAAGACATTAAGTTTGAGATATTTAACTAAATATTTGCAATATGCTTATGTTTTCAAAAACTTTTAGATTTAAAAGGTACTTACATATTTTTAGAGTTTTTGGATTTATATTAAAAGGACTTTCAAGTTTATCACTCATTTCTGTATAAACAAGTGTTTTCTCGCCAAGTTAAGCCAGATGTCATTTAAGGTTTATGTATTTAGAGTTAAATACCTGGCCTGGCTATCACCCAGACAATACAAATATGTCCATTGGACGTCCATTCGATATACAATTTTGGATGTCTAGACGTCCAAGAATGAGTTTTTTCTGGACTTTCGACATCCAATAGACGTCCAGTGAAGTATACAAATGGCACACTTTTGACCATTCAGAGGACGTTCAATTCTGGAATATATTTGAACGTCGAATACTGAACATTCAAAAAAAGTCCAGGATTATATTTCCATTGAGACCACATCCCCACTTTTTTTACAGAACCCCAACTTACCACACACTATTTTATATCATTAATAATTTGTTTATTATTTTCGCAAACCGCTATACACCTTTTTTTTGTATTCAAAATCGCTTGACCTGAGCAGGCATCGAACTCACGACACATCCATTATCGTTTTACCCTTTCAATCGCTAGACGAGCTCAGCCAAGGAACCACTTGAAAACTATTTACTAGATACAGTTATAATTGAATAAAATTTCAAACTTCCGCTGATAGAATGAAATGCAATAAAATCAATTTGTTAATTTTTAATGACCAGTTATATTAAAAAAAGAAGTATATATTATAGATGAGTATTATCTGGTAGGCTTAATAAATATTGACCTAAGATGGACGTCCACTGGACGTCAAAATACTACTAAACTTAAAATTAAGTCCAAAAACAGACGTTCTCTGGGTATCAATATTCAGCTGCCAATTTAATTAACATAAACGGACGTACACTGGATGCCCGGATATGGACGTCCTGACCCTCAAATAGATCTAAAGTGGACGTACATTGGACTATATGTGCTATCTGGGCATAGACGAATTTTTTGAAATAGTACTTATTTAAGTATGTACCAATATTTCCAAAATCAACTCCAGTCTGATTCATTCAATAAATATAAATATGAATGGGCAAAACATCTTTATATTGACATAATTGTACCTTACCATTTAGCCATAATAAAGGGATTTGGCCCATTTTGACCAATCCTATTTGAAACATGCGGATTTATTATATTTTTTTAAATATAATTTCAAAATAAAATAAACAAAATCTCCAGTTCATTGTTTATTAAATTTATTTAAAAGAAGAAAACATATATTTCACAAAATGCAATACCTACATAGGAAAAATAAAATGTCAAAAATGATTAGATCATTATACTTAATATTTATGCATGTGATAAAATTCTTAGTTTCCTAGTAACTTTTTTGGCACATTTTATATCTGCATTAGAATACCTAAGTGTGTAAAAATCTTATTACAACACAAAACAAACACCAAAAAATATCACTTAACATTGCTCACGTACTAAACACAACTTGGATTGACTTTGACAGATAACATCATTTTGAGTGATACACAACTTATTTTCGCACATGCGCGTTACAAAACGGTACACTAAAAACACCAAGCTGTCGCTTCTCCTTGATCGTTATTCTCGGATGTTAACTTTAAAATCAGCGAATTACTTTCTTTTTATTTAATGTTTAACAATAAAACTGACATTTCACAATTCTCTAATTACTTGACTCTAACGGCTGAATTAAATCATACCGAACGCAAGTGGTTTCTGTACAACCCAATCTAAAATCATATCGATGTTAAAAACCGGTTCGGGACAACTTGAAACCGCAGTCAAGTTAGGAACGGGCAGGTGCAATTTCAGAGGAGTTACAGCGGCTTTGTTGAAGTCGCCATTCGCCTTTGACAGCTGCAATTTCACAATGGTGAATTATCGGAACAACGTAGGTACAGTCGGGATAGTTCATCTCAAACACCAACTAGTTGTTAGCTGAGTATCGGGTATATTTGTACTCTCTGTAGTCCTTGATGGAATAAGCTAATATTGAATGCAAAGATAATTTCCAATTCCTAACGGTAAAGACATTATTAAATGAGAATTTGAAATCAGTAATATTTGTAGGATTATACCCGATGGGCATGTATACAGGATGTCCCAGCTTTTATTAGACAGGCTGTAACTTTTATAATAATTATCAAAATTAAATGAAATTTAGATCGGAGCTATAATGACTTGTGGGCTATCTGATGAGCATATTTTCCAATATCTAGAGCTTCCGGTCATACCGGAAGTGATCATATATTTTGGTATTTCAAATAGGACACACTGTATATTTCAACAATTCTGAATTCTCTAATCAATTCTACACATTTTTCATGTAATATGTCCTATATCTTGTTACGGTCAAATTGACGTTTAGAACAAATCATTTAAATTTAGTTAATTATCAATAATACTTAATCAAATAGGGTTTCGTTATTTTGATTCAAATATTTAGATTTAATTGATTAAAGCGATTTGATTTGGCATTAACACCATCTATCTTGCAGGTACGGAATTCTATCCTTAAAATGAACGTTTAATTCTTTTGATCGTAAGTGTATCGTATAGAAAACTGTTCTATCGCAGTTTTCTGTTACCTTTTTGATCGGTGCTGCCGCCTTGTTCGTATATTTTTAAATACTAATTAATTAATTTATTTTATGATTTGGAATTAAAAATTTGGAAATTCTTTACGCTCATTTTGTAAATGTCTACGCATCAGTACAGAGACAACATTGCATATGTATTTGTTTGTGCTGATTTAATTTGGATCATTTGTGAGATTATTTTTTGAGTATTGATTGTGTTATAAGTTTGTTTATTGCCACAAATAATTAACCATATTATATGGGATTTTATTAAAGATATTTCACATTAAGGCGGCATAAGATCATTAGTAAGTTTTCTTTTTTTTTTGTTTGATTTCTCACTTGTAATAATTTTCATCGTATGGGTTATTATTTGGACTTCTTCTAAAGCAAATTTATTTGTTCTAGGCCTTTTTCTTTTTTATGTATATATTCTCATTACTTTGACCTGGGCCATTCATGCTTTATTGAATAAATACATAGTACA